CAAAAGTTTGGTACTTCAAGCCCACCCAATGGCACTAAGAACACTTGTCCTCAGAAGATGAGAAGGGTTCTGACTCCCAGCCCTAAGCACACAGACTCACAATCTGGGCAGAGAAGTCACTGAGGTGAACCATCAATTTTCCAAGTTGCTCCACACCTGTCATTAACCATCAATCAGGTCTCTTCCTTCTTACTCTTCCTGGCACCAGAGCCTCCTTCAGCTGCTGTCCTCTCTCCTCTCTTTAGGTGCGCTCCCCAAAAGATGACTCTATCCTCAATGTCTTCCCACCCACCCTAATGCCCCTTCACCCCAGTCAGGCTCCTAGGCCAGCCCTCGTCCTCCCCTTGAATAATGCAGGTCCCCAGGACTCAGTGCCCAGCTGTGCACCCTCTTTCCTGGGGACATCCTGAGGTACAGGGCTCAAATCCCAGCTCTGTTATCTCCCTGCTGTATGGGCCAGCTACTTCACTTCTCTGTGCTTTGGTCTCCTCTGTAAGAGGGGACAGTAAGAGAAGCCCTTCAGAGAGTTGCTGCAGAGTCTCCTAGCATAAAGCCTGGCACCGAGGGATGCCAACGAAGGTCAGCTGGTGTTCTCACCCTTTCCTCTTCTCCTGGAAGGCTCCACACACTCCCCCTGCCCAGCAGCTGCAGGCAACCCCTCATGCCAAACTTCAGTGCTGAGTTCCAGGCCCAGCCAGCCAGAGGCCTGGGGCTCCGCACTCCAGATGTGGGTCCCAACAGCACCCAAATGCACAGCAGGACTGCCTAGCAGCATATGCACTCTGCAAGAGGTTGTACAAGGTGGGTTGACTCTCAGTTTGTTTATCTGGTTCCTCCAGATGCCCCTGACCAGTGTCTGTGTCACATCAGCCAGGTCCCCAGAGATGCTCAGCCTTTCGTGTCCCTCCGCTTCTCACTGCACCCCTTAGGCCCACTAGGTCTATGTCTTACTCCCCCCTGCTTTCATCCTGCAAGTTACTCTTGACTCCCCCTGCTTTCATCATACCCTCTGCTGCCGCCCCACCAGTCGGGCCTCTCTCCACTGGCCTCCTGGCTTCCAGCCTCTCTTGCCTCATCTCTTGCTACCCCTCCCTGTGCTCACCCAGCCCCGTTGCTTTCTTGCTGTGCCTCAGACACACCACCAGGTACGTCTCCAGCCCAGGGCCTTTGGTTTTCAGTTTCATCTGAGAAGCCTGTTCCTATCATGTGGGGGTTCCCAAGCCCCTCATACCATATGTCCAAAGACATGGAAGTTGTAAATCATGTTAATTCACCATGAAATAAAGCATCTTCTAAAATTGATTATGGTGATGGCCGCACAACTGTCTGAATATACTCAATGTTAGGCCGAAGCAAACCCAAGCCACCAGCATTTCAGTTAGCAGCTTCCTCCAGATGTCAAGCCCTGATGAGACAGCCTAATAATAAGACAACCGAAGTGAGAAAACCCGCCCAGACTGGAAAGTCCCATGCAGTGACAAACTTCCTCTTGTGAAGCCCCCTCATGCTAATTAAGTACAGACCCATGCTAACAGCTAACTGGACCCCACCATTTCCTTAGTGTCCCCACTTGGGTCCTCCACTTACGCCTCATCAGAACAGCACCCTCACTCTCACTCCCTTATACACCCACATACCGTCCCGCCTCCCGCAGGCCGCCTCACCTGGGCCTCTGCTCACCGCCTGCACCACCCAACAAAGGTCGGTCCTGCGCATCCGCAAGGACTACGACTCCCAGCGTGCCTCGGAGGGGCCTCGCGCGACAGGAGGCCTGAGGCGGGCGGCGCTGAGCATGCCGGGAGTTGTAGTCTAAATGAGCCGGCGGGCTGTAGCTTCGGGGCGCCCCCGCGTCAGCTCCCGGAAGTGCCCGCCAGCCCAGCGGCTAGGTGGGTCGAGGCGGGATCGGAGCCGGAGTCCATGTCCGGGCGGTTGCCGGGACCCTGCTGATAGGGCAGGGTGGGCGCGGGACCTAACGAGCGAGAGGACCACCGCGGCTGCTGGGACGGCGAACGCCTGCAGCGGGGCGATCCAGGTGTACGTACGTGACAGACTGGCGACGGAGTGACCGGCCGCGTGTGGACCAACTGAGGGACTGATGAGTTGTGTGTCATCCCTGGATTCAGGGTGGGACCGATGGACGAATTGTGTCTGATAGCTTGTGCTTCTGTCTGACACGTTCTGAGTGTCTTTCCGACAGCCTGGGAGCGTGAGGTTGACCGACCGTTGGGCGTGTGTGAAGGACGTCGGGCTGACCGACGGAGGTGTGTAACCCACAGAGACTATGGTGCAGCTGAGACGGGTGGTGGTGTGAGTGAGAGGGTGCATTGTGGGGGGCTGTGTGTGGGTCCCGGTGTGACTGAGAGTCTGTGTCTCCCGGGAGTGAGGAGGCGCTGAGGGCCTGTGTATGTCCAAGTGATCATGGGTGACAGAAATTTTAGGAGGCCTAAGATAGCACGTATGAGTGGAGAGGTTCTGTGTGCAGGACTGACCTCTGAGTGACCTGTGGAGTATTTACTGAGTATGTGATGGCGGGTCCATGCTGTACTGTGTCTGCAGCTGATATTGTGTGACCGGACGTCGCCCGACGGGCACATCTGCTGTGCACCAGGCCTGTGCTGGACACTAGCCATGGTTCACCTCAGCTAGCCGCGTGGCAGCCCTCAGCGGTAAGGACC